CAGTCAGAGATTTCTTTTCAAATTTCTGGTTGCCATCCTTACTGTTTTACATTTTGTGTTTCTTATGTGGCTCTCAAAATGAACTAATGGCAGTGCATTGAAATACAAAGTATATACTGCTGGATAGAAATAAATTAAGATCAATCTGTAGATTCACAGCTTCTGTCATTTTGACTGGTTGTCACGTGGATGAAAATGAGCTGGCTGAGCTGCTGACTGGATAAGGCTTCATAGGTTTGGAGGATAGCAGTAAAAGAAAATTACCGGTAAAGAACATGCACCCTAGAGACACCATGTCTAGATTTTTTGATCTAATAATTCTTTTGGCTTAGTGACTGCTTCTACATCCATAAAAACACTAAAGCACAAGAACTCATTACTTTTTAGAAAGGATTATGTCCCCTTTTCCAGTCAGTCATAGATTACTTTTCTGGTACTGATACCTTTGTAAAGGGCTATGGCCATGTGCTAAATACAGGATTAAATCCATGCGCAGCTTGCCTAACGTAACTGGTGCTGAGCATAAACTATTTAGTAGTGGCTTGGCTGCTGTGTTCCAGATGAGGTTTTCAGTCAGCTTCTAGTTGCACTTCAGTGTCATGGTTTTGCCTTTTCTCAGGTGGAGAAAGGTTTGCTACTCTTTGTGATCTCCTGCTGAGTGATTAAGTTAATGCGGTCTGGCAGCAATTAAACAAAGTGATCAGAATGTAACCAGATACCTCTGTGGACATTGTGTTCCAAGCAGTACTGTGAAGGACACTGAACTCCATAGTGTTCCCAGGCTTTGTCCTACAAAGTCACAAATACTTAAATTCAATTAGTGTTGTTATGGGAGTGAATTGTTGTTCTTTTCTATTACTTTTTTTTTTTTTCCTAGCTAAGTCTTGAAATGGTTTTATGGTGCACTTTTTCTTGGTTAAGAAAATGTGCACTTGAATTATTATTTATTTATGGTACTGTGCACTTAATTTAAGGCAGCTATTATTAGTATATACAGTAAGCATAATATCTCTATTAATTGATGTGATAGTCACAGTTCCAGCTTCAGAGTGATTGCAGTCTTTCAAGCCAGTTCTTTGATGTGGATAATTAATTCTGAAGTTGGGATGCATGTTAAATTATCTGTGAATTCAAGAGAGACCATCATTGAAAGTCTTCAAATTTGAATAATAGGGATAAAACAATTGTTTGAACTATGCACTATTTTCAAATCCCTCTATTTTTTATAGTCTCAGGCAAGTTGTTTCTAGTTTTTCATTCGCTTGTTTGTAAAGTAGTTTCTCATATGATGGGAGGTCTCTGAAGTACAATTGCAATGGTTAAGACAGTTTAGCTCCTTTGAAATGTTGTAATTATTCTAAGTCTTATGAGCTACGATTTTTTTTTAAAGTGAGCTTGATACTTTGTTCTTTACAAAGCATTTGAAAAATGGAAACTGAAAGTGTTACCCAGAAGAAGTAGAAATCACATTTTTGTTTTCTTTATTGAGTACAGCTGGACATCAATCACTGGGTATAGTTTTTTGGGGCAAGAGAACAGTGTTCCTTTGAACAGTACCGATTAAAATATTGACAGCAACCTCAAGGACTGCAGAATGGGATATTTATTGTGAGGGAGAAAACCTTGATCTTGAAGACCAAGTTTTTATAGTGGAGGAATGTTCTCAATACTTGCTGACATGCATGAGGACCTTTGTGTTTTACTACCTATGGCAGTTTGAAATACCATTTGGAAGTTTTCAGGAGGGCACTATCTCATACTGGCAGTGTAATTTTGGTAAAAAGTTAATCCCTCTTAGAATTGCATGAATTGTCATATTTCTGAAACCAGAAGCAATGCTGATATTCATCTTTAACCCTTAGTTTTGGATAAGGGAACTTGAAGCTTAGAGAAGCCTTGTAGTGGTGTGATGTGGTGCTTGTTTTATCAGGCAAGTTCTGCTTTAGTTTGAAAAGCGTTAATAAAAATTGTTAACTCACAGCTTCCAAAGTATGGTTTCCCTTTGAGTTCCCTTTGAGTTCCGCTTTGCTATGTTTTTTACTCAGATTAGTGAACACATTGCCAGCATCAGCCTGGGGTGGCTGTTTGATACAACCTGCTTGATTAAATCTTGATCAATGCCATTTGCTTCCTGCCCTGAGACAAACTCCCTTACAGCTGGAGGTTAAGACCTTCAAGTTAGTTGACCTGTTCCTGAGGCAGTGTTTCTGCAGACCAGATAAAAACGATTGTGGGCAAAGACCTTGCTTTTCTGCTTGGCTATCCCTGGCATGGGTGTCTTGCCTCATACCAGAGCTGTGTGGTTTGTGGTTGTTGTTTGGATTTGGTGTTAACTTGATCATGCTTGCTTCGCTCCTGTAAAAAATGTGCTGATATAGGATCTGTCAGAAAAGGATTTATAAAAACTTTCCTACTGTGTAATTCTGTACAATTTCTTGGAATGTGTTTAGAGTTCACTGGAGTTTTTCTGAAATGAAATATAAGTACTTTCCCCTGTCTCAAATGTTTTGTGAGAGCATTGGTCTTTAGGGAGTTGAACAGTGTACTCACCTATCACACACACCATTTGATATTATTTATTGAATTCTTACAAGTGGGGAAATAGCTAATAAAGTACCTATGTGTTCTTTTCGTTGGACACTTCACTGAACAACCAGAATTGTTTGTTTCATCAGATTGCACTGGCTGACTTGCTTTTCAAAAGCATATAGAATATACTTGTTTCTTTTTCAAATTATCTTGAATGGAAAACATTATTAGCTAAAATACCACTTGGTATTTTTTGGACATCTTTTGGAAAGTGCTTTAATTAGCTATTATATTTCCATAAATAAGGACAGTTAACTTTGGAAAAGTATTTGTATAGACTTGCATTTCTGCCTAAGCAAGTAAATAGTATCTAAAGGAGGCTGTGTTTATGATTCCAAAGCTGTTGGTAAAAAAAATTTCAGGCCAAGCATACGATCTCTTTAGAGTTCTTTATCCTTGCCACCCATTTATTGTAAATAAGTATTTCATTATCCCTAATTTTGCTCATTTTTTTACAAAACCTAGTGTTTCAGAACTATCTGGGTTGCAGCTCAGTAAGACTTGCCTCCTTTCCCCACATGCTGTAATACCTTACGTTGTTGGATTGGTTGGGTTTTTTTTAAAAACACCTTTCATAATTTCTCATTTGTATCTTGAAGTCCTGCATGGAGTGGCTGTCTGTCATGTGCTGACAGCCTTGCCGTGGCGGTGGCGTTCAGCAGTGCTGCTGAAGGCAGTGTGTGCCAAGTGTCATGCCTGGTCTCTGCAGTGACCTTCACTCTGCGAAGGTCTGAGTAACTGGATGCAATGCTTTGCTTGTAGAACTAGTTCAAGGTTGGCCATATCAGTGTGGTCCTGTGCCTAGTTCAGTACATGTGCCAAAAGAAGGATGTGATGCAGTGCTGTAGTGGCTACATTGCTTTGGGATTCCAGCTGATAGTTGTGTGCAGGATTGTTTGTGCTGCATAGTTTAAACATGACCATAGTTTAAATGCTGTGATCAGTTTTATATTTCCAGAATTAGTTTTGGTTCTGCAGACAATATAGTTTTGTCTTCACAGACTCTGTAAGCAACTTGAATTAATGGAATTGACACTTTGGAGTATATGGAAATCCTCTGCATAGACAGCAGGACCATGTATAAGAGGGGATGGGCATATTTATTAATTACTGCTTAAAATTTAGACTAATTAATGAAATTGGAAACAATTCCTGAGAGATAAGGTGTGATCTTATTACCTGTGAAGTTACACATTTTCATGTGTAGTTGGAAAGCATCTGGAATTTTTCGTGTTAAAATTTTATTTCAAAAAGTGTAGCTCAGTGTTAATTATGGACATACATTGAGGGTTTAGCTGTTACTGAAAATTAGTGAGAATAATGCTTGCCTGTGTTACCTATAATATGTGTAGACAGCTATTATTTCAAGTTATCTTGTCTTGTTCCCACATTTTTCCACTCAGTCACTTCTTACCCCATGAATTTTGGAGGGAGAGGGTCTGGTGGAAGGTGGGAAACAGGCTGAAGCTGGCAGGGCACAGGCTTGGAGTTCAAAGCCAGAGAGACTGAATCAAATGCAAGTTCAGAATCTTTCTGTGTGGCAAAACAACATGGTTTGGGACTGGAAGAAGGACTAACTGAGGTCTACCAGAAATGCCACGGGGAATTTGGACAGGGGCTTGTGAGTTGTTGAATTGTGACTGGTGAGTCTGCAAAGGGGCATCAACACTTGGGCATTGGTGCCTACCAACATCTGTCAGTGACAGCTGAATCCTGCAAAACCATGTTGTAGGCTGGTTCTGTTAAATCATGAAAGCTTCAAGATTCTACCTCCTTTTCTTGTTCTTTTGGTGGTCCCTCTAAATCACTTCAAGCTGTGATTATTTAAAAGGATAGTACAATGTTTGAGCTGAGCTCTTTTTCGTATTCTGTCTTTGTACATCAGAGCACAGCGTTTCATGTGCTTTGTAGGGATCTGTCAGTAGCCAGTGCTTATTATATAATTAATTTAAAATAGTAGTATTTCAGAAATAAAAGTGGATTGAGAGTAGCTCATAAAATCAAGAAAAAAGCTTGTCATTCCCAGATATTTCTAGGAGAATTTTCCAGGCATGGGATACAACTGCAGTGCTTTCACAGTAGTAGACAGTATCAGAAAGTGTCCTCTGAAATTCTTTATTTGCAGTTATCTGCAGATATTATGTCTGTTTTCAGAGAGAAATGGATATAGTTTAATCAGGTTTTTTAATAAAGAAATTTTTGTTTGGGAACTTTAAGGTCTTTGTTAAAAGAAAACTTGCTTTTCATATCAAAGTATAATTTATGCATAAAAGCAGACTGGCTTTTCAGCTTTTTGATCCAGACCAAATTAAAGTGTTTATCATTATACTGATATTGATTGGTGTAATGTAAGTCAGAGCTAAATATATTTTTCTTTCTCTCTCTTTTTTTTTTTTTTTATGTGTGTACAGAAAAGATGAAAAGGAGTATGCACTGAAGCAAATTGAAGGTACAGGGATATCCATGTCGGCCTGTAGAGAGATTGCAGTAAGTGTACATAAATGAAAGTAATTTTACTGACATTATTACTCAACAGGTATTTTATTTTCCTAGAATTAAGTAACATAGAGATTATCCAAATGTTTTCTTTAAAGTATGCAAGCATAGAAGTTTATTCAGATCTGAGCCTTTTAAAGAAGCTTTTAAAATCATAATTTTATTTTAGTTCTTTTCAGGTAATAGCAATGCTTCTTTTTGATACAATTTTCTTTCATTTTATGTGTTGAGAGGGAAATAAATATGAACTTCTAAATGAAGACTTACTTTAAAAAGGAATATTTCTAAAATGACTTCAAAGAAAAAGGTTCTGAAACATTACAACTGCCATCTGAAGTCCACTTACTAATAATGTATTTATTTTAGACTAATGGTGACTTCTTGTTCTTTAGTATCTGAGAACAGTTTGTTCTCCTAATTTTTAATTTGTTTTGCTAAGTACAGGGAAATTTCATAACAAAATGAAAAACAGCTTTAATTATATTTTTATTACATGTGTCTTTTATTACATACCTGTTATTCCTTCAAATTTGGTAAAAATTAAGTGTTTATAAAAAAAGGTAGAATTTGATTTTTAAGTGTTTTTTATGTCTGAAAATGTGCATTACTAACAAAATGCTGGATACTGAGTAGAATTTTGTAATGCAAGTATTTCTTGCATTGCAAAAGAAGTACACTTGATTGATTAAATATTTACCTTGTCTTTCTGCTGTCACTATGCAGTCACCTGTTGAATGTATCTTAGGATTGTGCCTAAAGCTTTTTATAATCTGGTAGTGTTGAAATACAGCATTCAGATGTGCAATGCAATGTGAGGCATTAGAAACTCATGGTGTCCATGAACTGAACAAACCACTGGGTTGTGTTTTGTGTCCATGGTGATTCTGTATGAAGAGACTTAACAGATATAACTGCTGTCCTTTTAAAGTGCTTATCACTATAAGGTCAAGGTCACTCATGGATTTGAGAGGTGGCCACATTGCTGTCAGTCACTTTACACCGGATTTACCCAGTGACCTTTTTTTGGTAATATTTCTGCCTTTGGAGGAAATAGGAAATCCTCTTTTAACATCAGTACTAGGATATATTCTTGGTATTACAAAGTCATTTTTGACAATATTGAGGGGTTTTTGTTTCTTGGATTTTTGTCCTTTGTTTTAAATTCTACTGCTGTGAAGATGTGTGGATTAGTCTGAAGGAGACTTTCCTGTGAGTATGGTAGCACTGTAATATGGAGCTGGTTCTGTCTACCTGGACAAAACAACGTAAGGAAGGAGAGAGTGTCAAATTATGTTTTAACTCCCATAATACATTTTTTTTTTTTAATTACCGAAGCTTTATGCAAAGGTTAGTACATCCTGTGAATTTTGGCGTCTACTGTGTAAGTTACTTGACTGCTTTCAGTGGTTCTTCTGGTAATTCTTCAATAAGTTAGATTTCATTCTTTGTCTTCAAACCTTATTGTAAAACTCTGTAACCTGAACTAATACAGCACATCAGCATTTGCCTCAGTGAAATTTCAGGTCAAATATTAGAATTGTGAAAAAGGTAAAGGTGAAATAGTTGAAAAAAAATTACCAAATTTTTGTCATATGGCCAAAATCAAGTGCATTTTCCATAAAAAGAAACAGACTTCTAAATAATGCATCAATAGCTTATCTTGTATTTAAAGGCTTAGATAGGTGACAAGGAGGGCAATGTTTACTGATTAAATAAAGATTATCAGCCTGGACAGAGGCCATTTAAAAAATGTCATGAGTAGTTCTTTCAGCACTTCTTTCCCCTTTGCTCCAGCAGCAAAACAAACCCAAATCCCACTTTGGAAGATGAAAAAATGACAGGGACACCGGTGTACCTGTTTCTCTGTGTGTATGTTCAGAATATTTTAATAGTTCTGTAAACTTTAGGCACTTGACATTGTACTCAACAAATATATTGCTAACTGAAAGGCATTCAGTTTTACAGTCCAAGACAATTTTGTGTGTCTTATTGCATAGATACCTATAATAGGATCTCCTGGCTAGCTTTCCCTAAAGGAAAAGACAGATGACTCTTCTCTTCTGACATGACGAATCAAGTTGGTCTGTCTTTGCTTAGGACTTCAAAACCCATAAAGTTTCTCTTACCGCTATTCATTTGTAGGAGCTTTTTCTGGAAGAAAGTTTGTATCAGTAAAAACATCATATAGGCAGTGGTTCCTGTGGCAAGGGATTGTTGCTTTATTTCAGCTGTAGGCTGATCCCTGCTTAAGGAATCCTTATTTCAGCCAGTTCTATTGTAGCAAGTATGAAAGTATCAGAAAGGACTCTTTATACCTCAAAGAATTCTGTGAGTGTGTGAAAACCGAATTAGTTCCCTGTAACTCAAGTGTGTTCTGAAGATAACTGAAATGCTAACTATTTTCAGTGTTCTTGTTATGAGGCAGATTATTGCTTGGCTTAAGCAACAATATTTTTTGAAGAGCAAAGCTGTAAAATGTGAATGGGAGTAATGACATAGTGTTTCTATTTTTAGATGATTTAGTTAATGAATGTGACATTTCTTTCAGCTCCAGGCTTGCATTAGCTTATTTTGAAACCTGAGGTGGGTTGAAAGGAAGACTTTAATTCTGCTGCTTTTGTGTTTTACATTTTTCCCTTACCTTATCTAAGTAGGTTCTTTAGAACAAGAAGTGGGGACACAAGAAACAGACCAGAGGAGTATTATTCATTAAGGCTGTTTTTCCTGTTTAATACCTTGGCTGTCATCTGTTCAGAACCAAAAGCTGTGATTTTAAATATCTGCAAGCAAGTAGTGGTAATAGAATTTGGTATTTCTGTATCAAAAAACATGTGGGTAATACAGCTTTATCTGAGATTTCTTGTCCCAAAGGCTTCACTTCCTGTGAGAGTACATGCAAGTTAATTCAAGGACTTTGTTTTTCACAGTAAGAGACTATAAACTTTTAATTGTGGATTTTGGGAAAATTTAATTCAGAAAAAAAGAAAAGTAATAAGCCTTTACTTAGTCAGTGCCATTCACCAATAATACAAATTGTAAATATATGGATATATATCCTGTCCCTGAGCATGGAAGAACTTCAGTGCAATTGTTATTGGCTTACTTAGCTGATATGATGAGGTTGAAGATGGATTCACTAAGTGAACGGAGCATGGCAAAAAGCAGGATCATGATCCTGGACTTTAGGAGAGCAGACTCTCTAAAAGGAGAGCAGGCTCTGGAGCCCTGGAGAGAAGAGGGATTCAGGAAAACTTGTTGGTATTCAAGGATCAGTCTGTCCAAACTTTAAAGTTTCCACCTCAGCAAGGGGGAAAGCAAGCAAGGGCAACAGGACGCCTGTGTGGCTGAGAAGGAGGCTCCTTGTTGAATCTGGATAGGAAATTGAATTATATATTAATTGGATAGGCAGAACAAGAGAAATATAGAGTTGCTGTTTGACCTTGCAAGAATAGGGGTTAGAAAAGCCAAGGCTGACATGGAGTTGGGTCTTGCAAGGGACCAGAAAGACAACAAGAAAGGATTCTACATGTACATGAGTATGAAAAAGAAGACTAAAGAAAATATGAGCCTGCAGCTGGATGGGAATAAATGGTATGGGAAAGGCCAAGGTAGTCAATATTTTCTTTGTCTCAGTGTTTAACAATAAGTCCAGCCTTTAGGCGTCTCATGTCTTGAGACCAGAGAACAAGCCAAGGAAGGAAGCCTTACTTTGGTGGAGGAGGTCCAGGTTAGGCAGCACTTGAACTGGACATACACAAGTCTGTGGTACCTGATGAGCTGTACCCACAAGTGCTGGGAGTTGCTTGGATTTCCTTATGAGACTACTCTCAGTTATCTTAGAATAATGATGAATGGAAGAGAACAAGTGTCGCTCATGTTTCCAAGGTGGATCAGGGGAACTGCAAGTAGGTCAGCTCCTTAACCAACCTGGTTTTCTTGTATTATAAGATGTCTGGCTTGGTGAATGCTGTAGATTGTTTATCTTGACTTTAGTAAGGTTTTTAATCGTATCTTCCGTAATATTCTTACAGAGCAGCTAACACAGTTCACAGACAAAAATGACTCTACTAAAGGTTTCACATGAACCAGAGACTGAGTCAAGACTTAGATGTTCTTTGTTCAACTTCTCATCCTTTCTAGCTTTTTTTTTGCACCCTTGCCAATAAGAACTTCAATTTTTCCAAGGATAAAGATCCAGCTCTAGCCTTCTTCTTTGTAAACAGTGACCTTAATTCTAAATATAATTCAATTTTTCTATAACAGGGTGGTTTTATAGCTCATTCATTTTTTTCCCTGTAGGGGAGAAAAAGAGACTGGGCTGTTGCAGATGATTTAAATGGGGAAAGCAGAGCCACAAACCACCATTGCTAGCCTAGTGTTTTTTAAGGAGTGCCCTAAATTGGTGCTGTTTTGCCCCATGTGAATGCTGGGTTTGGATCCTGTAACCATTTCAGTTGCCACATCCTGTGCCTGTGTGTGCTGGTTATTAGGGAAGGCTGCTCCTTCTGGGAGGCCTTGAAATGGTGCCAGTATGCTGTGGCACACTAGTGGGAGCATTGGTTGGCCTTTGTTGTTCAAACTTGCATTTATGGGTACAGGCTAAAGTAAATTCGGACTATAATATTAAATGAGTTACTGAAAGCTCAGTTGAAAAATTTAGCATGCACAAATCGTTCTCAGGCCTTCTGCCTACTCATGCAGTATACATTCCAAAGTACTACAGCATACGAATATTTTGGTTTCTGAGGGTGGGCAAAGTTTTAGAAGCCTTACAGGTTAAAGAATATATCTTTGTAACCTTTTTGTGTTTGTCAGCTCTCTTGAAAGTGCCACTTTCTCACTGTATTTACATTCTATTCTGCCTCTGTTACTTTCCATGTGGGCAGTTCTGGGGTTGTGTCACCCTGTTCTTGGTTTTGGTTATTCTGTGATGTTGTGGTGCTGAAGCTGAGCTAAGGAAGTCAGCCAGACTTACCATCTCCATCTTGAAG